GAGTTAGTTAGTAAGGAGCAGAGGCCGGCCCTCGGGGGGTGCTAGAACATTCCTGGGAGCCTCTTGATCCATCTGTTTCTCTTGCACGTTTTAATCATCTGTGTGCTACAACGGAACATGACCGGAACCACCATGGACATCTCTGATACTGGTTTGAGAAAGTGATGCCTACTTGGGGGGTGAACCAACGGAAAAAGGAAGACCTCTCTCTCTCTCTCTAACTCTGCCCATGCAAAAAATGAAAAATAAAAAAATAAAATAAAAAAAGAAAGTGATGCCTAAGATGTGAGCATCCATGTCTTTGCCAAGTTCAGGCCAAGTGCCAGAATCTACCACTGGGTCATCACATGCCACAATTTGAATTTATTTTTGTTTGAACTTTGCTTTTTCTTTTTTTAAAGATTTATTTACTTATTTAAAAGGCAGTTTTAGAGAAAGAAAAACAGAGATAGTCCATTTGCTGGCTCATTCCACAAAGGCCGGAAACCCTGGGACTGGGCCAAGCTGAAGCCATGAGACTGGAGCTCCCTCCGGGTAGCAGGGGTAAAAGTACTTGGACCATCTTTGCTGCTTTCCCAGACACATTAGCAGGGACTTCTGTTGGCACTGGAGCAGCCAGGACTCCAAATGGTGCTCATATGGGACTCCAGCGTCCCAGGCAGAGGCATAACCCAGAGTGCTACAGTGCCAGGCCCCTTACCTGAAATTTTCTAAGGGGAAAACACAGCCTGGTATTTAAATTTGAAGTGGTCCCAGCTGACTTTGTCTATTTTTTCCTCACCATGTTCGAACACTGACTAAACTGGCCAACCTTGGGCTGTCAGCATAAATGACCACTCATTAGGATGCATTCCCAGCCACCCAGCCAGAGCCAGCTTCCCAGTGACTCCCTGAAGGACTCATCAGGGCTTGTCTTTGCCTTGTTGCCTGTGCACTGCCACTCCGAGTTCAGCTCAGTGACAGCAGACACCTGCCTCCTTCAAGTCTCTCACTAAATGGCACTCCCAGTTCACCTCAGTAATGACAGACACCTGTCTCCTTCAAATATGTCACTAAATGACACGTGGGTGGATCAGAATCAACAGATCACTGCGTGAAAGGTGGTGGATCGACCCTGACCGTCTTACTTGAACCAGAAAGATGAGGCCTGTATTCTCTTGGCCACAGTTGATGAAAACCAGTTGGAGAATTCAAAGTGGCTGTGTTTCTGGAAGGGGGACTTTAACTCCGAAAGTATGCCCGGGAGTTTGGTGTAGCAGAGGCCCCCTCCTAGCACTGCCTGCCCCTAGAGCAAGGGCACATGACCCAGTTCTGTCCAGTGGAGCTTTAGAGAAAATTCACCAGGGGCTCCTGGGAGAGACTTGAAAGTTTGTGTTCCACCTCCACAACTTAAGGTCAGCTGAACATGTAGCTGTTAAGCCATGCAGCCTGGCTTAGGCAAACCAGGCCTCTGGTGCATAGAGTGATTCAAGCACCAAATAGCGGTATGCAAGGACTGACGGTAACAAGGTACCACAGACTGGGTGCTTAAACACAGAAATGTCTTGTCTCGCAGTTTGGGAGCCTGAAGTCCAAAATCAAAGTGTTGTCAAGACCAGGTTCTTCGGAGGGCTGTGAAGGAGGGATGGCTCCAGCTTTTCTCTTTGACCTGCCAACGGCTGTCCTCACTGTCACGTGATATTCTCCCTGTGCACCTGCCTCTCTGCGCAGATTTCCCCGTTTTGTAAAGGTGCCAGTCATGTTGGATTAGGACCTGCTCTAAAGAACTCATTTTAACTTGAGTACCTTGTAAAGACTCTGTCTCAATAAGGTCATACTCCAAGGTACTTTAACAGGAATTTTGAAGATGACACAATTCACACAGCTTTCTGTATATTCATTAGTCTTCGTTTTAAGGGCTCATTTATGTAGGCTGGGCTGGGGTCAACTAGTGAGGCAGCCAATGGAAACTTTTGCAGGATGTAACTAGAGAGAGAGAGGCAAGGCTGGCTTGAGTGCCCATGTGCTCCATTAGAAGTGGACCTAGGCAAACCTCCTGGGGCTTGCAGGGAAGCACAGTGACTTACACTGGACAGCGATGAAGTTAAGTCTTATTACAGGGCAGGACCACCTGTCAGTGGGATTATCAGCAGGAATTTTCATGAGAGAAAAGTTCATGGAGTCTTAGGGCATCCTAAAGACCCAATTCACCGATTCCTAGCTTCCCTTACAGATCAGGACCATGCGTCAGAGACGTCCAGCCTGTTACCTCCCTGTGCCTGAACTTATTTCTCAATGACACCCTGTGGACCAAGGCCCGTGGTCTACAAATGCAATGGCTTCTTCTCCTTAGACTCTAGCCTCCTAGACATTCATTTACTCAGTGAATGCCTTTGCATACCAGCATGTGCCGGGTACTCTGTTGGCAGAACTGGGTTATCAGTTTAAGTCCTGGCCAAAAAAAGAAAAAAAAATGCCACCCAGGAGACTCTATTCAGAATCCCTGGAACATAGGGAAGGGGCATGGAGCATAGGAAGCAAAGGAGCAAGTGCAGAAAAGGAGGAGTAGATGGGTAGGGGTGCATGATGTGGGCCCTTTAAGCCGTGATAGAGACTGACATGTTATTCCAAGAATAAATAAATAAAAGCATCATGTTCTGATTTGTGTTGTAAGACAGCCATTCTGGTTATACTGTAGAAATAGAATGCAGAGGTGCAAGAGTAGGAAGAGTAGTAACAAGGCACATTAGGTAAGGTTCCCTGGGAGACAGACTCCAGGATCAGATGTTTAGAGCCCCGGGGCCGGGAGGAGGATTCGCTTGGGTGCTCTTAGAATCTCCGTATTTTGTGATAACTGTGACAGGTGAATCACAGTCTGGCCAGGCCAAGGCAGCTCAGGGCTCAGACCCTTCAGAGGCAGCAGTGTGGGTCGTCCCACTGCCAAGCATCTGAGGCCAGAGACCAGCCAAGGTCTGAGGACACAGAATGTGTGAGCAGCTGTGCCATCCCCCAGACCCTCCAGGTG